CAATTTTGGAGTCCCACTGAAGCCCCATTGTTTGAAAATGAGGGCTCCTGATTGGGCCAGGTGTGTCTGGAACAATCTGGCCCTAGGCCTTGTACATTCTTTTTGTGTTTGTGTGTGAGGCCCAGTCACAGCCGCAGCCTGTCTGAGGGGAAAGAGGAGCCAGTGTTTAAAAGAGCCACAGGGCAGCCTCTCTGAAGAACCCTTCACACTCAGCCTGGCCCAGACTTGTCCCCTTACTTCAACTACAGCAGAGAAGATGGAGTGGAAGGAGTGGCATGGTGGGAGTCCTCCAGGACTGTGGTGTGTCAGTAACTGTAACACATTTGTGAGTCCTGATGGGTGAGACAATTCCATTTCAGGAAAATAGGGTTGGAGGTTTCATGCGTAAGAAGCAGCATGGAACTAAGTCCAGGTGGTTAGCCTGATTTCCCAAGTTGGGGATCTTATGGACTGTCTCATGGCTCTTACTGAAGAATGTCTGATTCCTGAACAGCCCGTAGTTAGATATCAACACAACAATGTGTGTTCTTACTTGACATGGTGGCGCTGGCCATGGGTTAAGGATTATTTGGGGGATGTGCAGTATGAGACCAGAGCCGACTAAACAGAAAGCACAGCTCAACCTTAACTATAGCAGAGCTGGTGCTCCACTGTAATCAAAGAATCCATTAAACTACGGACTCCATAGTGACATAGTCTACAGTCCAGCACTTAGTGAATAGAGTCTATCCCACCGACTATTTATTGCTTTGCCAGACCAACTGATAAGCAGGAAGTTGTGTCTGTCTGTCTGTTAGTCCCTGTTCTGTGGGTTGGGATCTGGATGGGAAATGAGTAGGGTCCGTCTGGTCCAAGTGCAGTGACACCAAGACAGTGCAAGTGTTTCTGCAAGAGCTGGCATCTAGCTCTCTCCTTTGAAGCTGAACCCTCCCAGAGACCCCTTATTAGACATGTGCTCAGTGGTGTAACATCAGAGTCAAACTGGCCTGTTGATTCTCAAATCATCCAGCCTGAAATTGCTAGAAGTAGAAAGAAAATGCAAATAATTGACAATATTCTGACGCGTACTTTAAATGTACTAAAAGTTACGGATACCGATAATTGTGTGTTCCGGTGCAGACCCCAAGAGATCATTCTCAGTGTTCACTTTTTCAATGTTCTTCCTCAAATCTAGAAAAATAAGATCAAGAAAAGTTTTGCATATGGAATAATTTTGGCCATGCTGAGTGACCAGGAGCTCAGAGCCCTGCAGTGAAATCTGAAATGTACCCTGACAGACTTATGATCCTTGCTCAGAGCAGTAAGGAAATGACACTTGGGTGTGAATATGGAAAGTGACTGAGTGATGTAAATTATCTCTGAGATGTAGGGTGTAGTTTGAAAATGTTGATATTTATGGATCATCAGAAGCCAGAGGTCTTTGTCACGTGCAGAATTTAATCATGCGCAGTCCAAAGAAAATAAAAATGGACCCCTTCAAATGACACTGAAATCATGTTAGGTCTTCACATCTGTCACACTGCTCCTTTCTACAGCACCCACATTCCTGCGTAGTTACTTCTGTGATGCATCCTTGAGTCTAGGAAGGAAAATAAAAATGTGACCGAGCACATTGAAATTCATGACTGACATGAGCCAAGCTTTTGAAATCTCCATCGTAGCCCAAACTTTATAATATGATAGACATCAGAGGTAAAGACCTCTGCAGAGTTATCTTCCACTCTCGTGTTAAACTTCTCAGCTGACAGCTCTGTCTTAGGGTAAATGCCCTTATACAGAAGTAATTGACACAGACATTGAGCAGATTGTGCTGCTGTAAATAAAGGGAGCTCCATTAAAGTGAGTGGCGCTGTCTTGATCTACACCAGCTGAGGATGTGGCCCATTGAAACAAGAATTTTGGCCCTTTTTATTTTTTTTAAATAATATGATTAGGTCCCCGCTTTGTGGAATGAATCACAAACGCAGCTGTGGAAAATGTTTTTTTTTTACAGCTGCTTCTGCTGTTTTGGGCTGGCTTGCTCAGTGTGGAGATGGGCTGTAATTTCTTTAGTGGGGTTTACAAGAAAAGTCAGAAGAAATCTTTTATATGTGGGGTATTATTACAGTTAGACATCCTGTGAACTGAGTTACTGAGTCTCTCTGTGTCTGATTGGTGAGCGATCTTCAGATGCTGGAAGGACAAGGATGCTCCAATGAGAATCTCTGTTCATAAATGCACAGGATCAAACCCATTTGCACCAGCTGGGGGTGTGGAGAGGAAACCACCTCCCTATGTTGAGATTAGAATGTCACTTCTGTGGAGTCTTTAAGTCAGTTGCTCTGTCTCTACATCCAAGGTGCTGTCTCTGCAATGCTGACTTTATTGACATACCAGGTGTTTGAATGTGTTTGGACTCTATTCTGGAATTAAAAGTTGTTTCTGGTCCTTAGGAAAGAGTTAGTCTTCCCTTCCTGTACTGATTTCATATTTTACCATCAATTGTATCAAACATGTAGCACTTTTATGTAGAACTCAAAAAAGATTGGAGGTTCTAGCTCTCTTCTCTGAACTGTTAGACTCCAGTGCACCTAATAGCCATTAAGAGAAATGTAGCGGGGTGGACACCCGCTCCTGCCCTGAAGGGCTTAAAACAGCCCTGGGAGAAGGCTGTGGCAGGGGAAAGCAGCTACTAGGCTGATTGGGGAAGTAGCCACAGCTGGGCCATGCCCCAATCAGGCCACAGCTGGCCTGTATATAAAGGCTGTGAGCCAGGAGCGAGAGAGTGTTCAGAGAGAGAAGGGCCTGGCTAAAGGGAGCTAGACACCGGTACCTGAGTGGAGCAGGGCCGGGGAAAGGCTGAGGAGCTGGGGAGCTCCAGCCTGAAAAGCCCCAGGCTGCGGCCTAGGAGAAGGCTAAGGGGTACTGGGGGTTGCAGAGGGCAACCCAGGTGTAGGCCAAGGCAGCAGGTCCAAACCCAACCCTGCCAGTGATGAGTGGCTGATACTGCAATCTGCACCAGGGAGCGGGGGCTAGTTGGTGACTGGCAGTGGCCTTATCCTAAGGCGAGGTAGGGATAGTGGGTGGGGGTTCCCCTGGGAGGGGAGACCCAGTGTGTGTGGGTACTGCCGGGGGCAGCACCCAGAGCAAGGGGCACCGGGATCCTGGGAGGGACACGGGAGCCAGTAGGAGGACAAGGCGGATCACTGGCCTGCAGAGGGCGCTCCAGAGGCTGGTAAGCTAATTCCCTGGACGACCAGCAGGAGGCGCTGCAGGGGTGAGTCCGACCCCTTACAGAAAGCATCAAAGGTTGACAATTATTGATGCCGAAGCAGGAGTAGCAGATGTTTGGATGGTTCCATTTGTGAAGCAGATGTGTAATGAGCAAAACTAACTGAACTGAAGGGGCTGGATCAGATAGTGTCTTTTACTCTGAGCACAGTTTGTTTGAATTAGACTGTTGCCGTTTTCCAGTGTGGCTGCTTTACAAAGCAGAGGTGTAGTTCTCCATCCATTTCGTCAGCTCAGTAGAAAATTGCCTGGATTGTAACCTGCTGTCAGGAAGTTGGATGCAGCCCATAAGAGCAAATCCATGTTAGTGATTGGGAGCAATTGCTGAGTAAAGAGTGTGAACCCCTGAAAGGACTGGAAGTTCTTCAGTGTGGAGGGAGGTGACTGAAGTTGGACACACCCAGCCACCCCACTGCAGGGCAGCAGAGGCAACGATGCAATTAAGCTGCATAGGAAGCACCTGAAATACTGAGTGAGAGTCTGAAACTAAACAGCAGGGATGTTTTTGTGCTGGTCTGTATCACTGTGTGAGAGGGGGGAAGCCTTGTTGGCAGTAATAATCTCCAGCATCTTCAGCTTCAACCCTGCTGATTGTGAATGTGAAATCAGTGCCCGACCCACTGCCACTGAACCGGTCTGGGATCCCAGAGGGACGGGTGGAAGCATTGTAGATAAGGAGCTTAGGAGCTTGTCCTGTTTTCTGTTGGTACCAGGCTATAGCACTAACAATGCTGGTACTGGCTTTGCAGTTGATGGTGACTCTGTCTCCCAGAGACACTGCCAGGGATTCTGGAGTCTGAGTCAGCAAAATCTGCCCACTGGAGTCTGCATGGGAGAATAAATTTGGGATAAAAAGAAATATAAAAATTCTCCAACATCAGAATATTTGACACACTACAAAGCTGCATCTCTAGGAGTCTTGCCTGGAGCTCTCATTCTATTAACACTGTAATTGCTGCTAGGAGTGATTGCTGCAAGGGGAAATTCTTACTATTTCAATCCTAATAAATGATTGACTTTGGTTTAAACTCATTTTCCTTTGTTGTTCTTACCCTGAATGCAGAGCACGAGGAGCCAGAGTAGCTGAGTCTGGGAGATCATCTTGATATGTCTAGAGTGACAAACACCGAGCTCAGAAGCACAAAGTGTGAAGGTGGCACGTTTATATCTGCTCTGAAGAGCTGGGAACTGTCACTCGGGTGGAAATATGCAAAGCAGCGTCTCTGTGTAAATGTCCATCCCCTCTGCAGACCCAGGGCCACGTACACCCCTCAGTCTGGTAACGCAGCTCCCATTCCTGGCAGTGAGGGATGCCCAGATGGGTCTGGCTGGGGATTGTTACTATAATCAATGGGCTCAGGTTGTTCTGGAGCTTTTCCTGATCAAAGATTCCAGAACTGGGGTCAGTGAGTTCATAAGCTCAGTGATATCCGGTGTCTGCATCACTAGGAACTTCTAATTCCCGGCCCTTATTTACAGTGTTTGCTTATTAGAGAGAAGTTTTGCAGAGGGGTTGTCAGGATGCTGATTAGTGAGTTCTTGACTGTTTCACAGGGCTTTGTAAAAGTATAGTGCTGCTTAAGGGCTCATTAATTATTATTCTTATTATATAGTTAATACTATATTTTACCTTATTGCCACATTCCTTTCTAATATCTGTCACTGAATAGAAATAGGCACTTAAGCTTGAAGAGATGAAACTTGTTTGCTGTGGATGGTCGCAACGCTGCCCATTCTCTTCCTCCCTAAGCTCATTGAATGGGCCATTTACAGCTGTTGCCTCCAATTCCGCTTCTCCCCCCCGCATCTGTTCTGGTTTCTGCCCTTTCCACTCCACCAAACTGCTCTCACCTTTTTCTGGACCACTCTCCGTCCTCGGCTGCGTTGGGTGTTGTCAGTCACCTACTCATTGCAGAAGTCTTGTGCTCCCTTGGTTTTTGTGATGTTGCCCTGTCCTGGTTCTCCTCCTACCTCATGCATTGTTCTTACAGCATCTAGTCTGGTTGGTTGTTGTCCTCCCCTCTCCCACTCTGCCAAGGTACCCCTGAGGCTTCCATCTTTAGCACCTTGCAGTGATGCATCGTGTGTGTGTGTCTGTACAGTGCCTAGAGTAGGGGATCCTAATCCCAAGAGGGGCCTCTAGGTATTGACTCTAAGACAGATGCTAAATTATAATATAAATGTCTATGAAGGCACCTCAGCCTGCACTTCCTTATAACTCTGCTAATAATTTTGGATATCATCTGACCTACCATAACTGACCCCTATAGGACATTGCATAAGAAAGCCCACCAGGCCAGATGAGCAACTGCCCAGTACTGAGTCCTGTTAGAGTGATAAGAAAAGGGGACGTGTTGTGTTTTTTGGAGGAATGTGATGTTACATTTTTCACCCCACACTCGTATTAAATAGAGCTGATTGGAAAACTCACATCGTGCCTATGAAAATATTAACTACAGTAGATTGCAGCCAAACTATTCTGAGTAGTGACAAAGTAATTAGGTTTGACATCACAGTTTCCCAAATACAAAGAGACATGGATAAAAGAGGAGCGAGGAGAAGCTAAAAGGAAACAGAATGAAATGCTTCTTTGTATGTTAGATGGTAGGTTTGTGATGATTGTTGCCAGCTTTAGCGCTAAATTGTAGCTCTGTCCTCTGGCAGGCAGAATTCCTAGTCAATCTGAGATCTGGTTGGAAAACTGGATTGGAGGACAGGTAAAGATGATGGATAAAGTTTCTGTCTTTCTCCCAAAGTGGAGAGGAGACAACCTCAGAGGAACAGATGAAAAAGAAATCCTGGACTGTCTATGGGGGGTTGTTAAACCTAAGAAACATCATGGCCTGAGGTTCTACAGGCTTTACACCTGTTAGACCCATAAAATGGAGGTGAAAATAAAATCAAGGGATGGTTGCAGAGTAAAAAAGAACAACCAACAAGACCTCCTGGTCAACATTAACAAAGGTTTGAATCTGTAAAACCACATGAGCTATGGTTAGGACTATGCTGAACGTGCCCTCTAGTTGGAAGCTATCATTTTAACATATCTTCATTTGGCCGGAGCGATCAAACCCAGGTGCCAGAAGTTAGGCTCCTAAAACCATATTGGCACCTAAGTAAAAATGATCTCATTTTCAGAGGGGCAAAACATCTTTAGCTCCAACTGATTTCAGTTTAGTTAGTGGGGGCTCAGCAGCTGTGGAAACCAAGCCCCCATCTGGGTTTAGGAGCCTAACTTCAGGCACCCAGGTTTGGAAGTGTTGGTCTCAAGTGTTACATAGAAAGGGTGCTTTAGAAGAGATGCTTTCCTTCTTATGTCATTCTCCCCTTTGAATAAATGGAGGATTCATCTCCCAGCAGACGTATTCCTTTAATACTCTTGTATTGGAAACCCATTTGTTATCTCTCTGTATGGTGGCAATAATAACACCATCTATATGTATGAGCAGAGGCATCATCATTCGCATTTCTCCATAGCATTCCTGCTGACCAGCTGAGGCAGAATGCAAAGAACAATAGCGGTTCCAAATGGAAAACCCCTGTTAGTCCATCCGCTCCATCTTCTGTGCTGGAGTGTTCCCTACAGCAGATGTGCTACATTTTTTGGTTGCAGCCTCCCTGTGCATTCACAGCAGCTGGTGCAGGGGGTTTCCAACCCTCTACATCTTGTTCCAGACACAGAGCAGGTTCTTAACCTGCTGCGAGCAATTGGCAGGAAGGCAGCAGTCATATTGACACTGAGCTTGTCTGCATGGAGCAACTGTTCCACTCGACAAGC